TTACCAAGACTAAATCATACATTTATAATACAACTATATCCATGGAAATCTTTCAATTACATCCCTGTGTCCTGAAATGTACATATGAATTGATTTTTTGTAACTTTAACAGTTAAATGAAACAGTGTAAAAATGGTCAACATATTAATTGTAATGTCCAACAATCTCTGAGACTTGTCAACTAAATGTTTTTTGACGTTTTTCCGCAGTTCTATTTTTGCACCTTAGAGAACATGATTAAGGTTAAGAATAATAATAGGCTTGATTACAGAATAAAGAGAAATTAAATGCTCACTTGAAGCAGGAACATCTGTTAATATTTACCCAAAACTATTATCTTATCTTCAGGAAAATATTTCAACATTCTGGTAAAAAAATGCACAATATTTATTCCATTTCTTTTTGGAGAGTGAGATGAGAAGATGGATGTCTATCTCATGTCTTTTTGTTAATAAGGAAGATGCAGTCGGCACACAGTTAGCTTAGCTTAGACTGAGTGTAATGTACTGGTAACTTATATTACTCTAACCAACACCTACAGTTCACTTCATATCATTAGTTTATAAAGTGCACAAACAGAAATATAGAAAAGGAGTATGTGCTGCCAGTATTTGTTGGTGAACAACAGTCGGTGCAACGTGGTGAAGCTTCCTGAAGTCTGGTTCTCTTCAGGAAGTTGAAGGTAAAGAGGTAAGGTTAGGTTGTCAGGTTTATGGTTACTAAAGTCCAGAAATATTTAAGTTGGAAAACCTTCCTTGGATTTAGTGGGAATTAATAGGGAAGTTACCCTTTAACTCTCATTATGACAGAAGGCCTAATTTGCCAATATTCCATAACTAGTGTGAACATTTATAATAATAATAATAATAATAATAATAATAATAATAATAATAATAATAATAATAATAATAATACATTTGATTTATATAGCACACTTTAAAAACAATGTAATCTCAAGGTGCTTCACAAAGCTATAAGGAGAAAATAATAAAACATAAAATAAAAAGAGATCTAAAGGAGCATATTGAATAAAATATGGTAATATAAAAAATAAAAAGGTTAAGAGCATAAAAGGTTTAAAATAAAATAAATAAGTAAAGTAAAGGACAGTCAGTAAAATGCGGTGTGGAACAGGTGGGTCTTGAGGCATTTCCTAAAAACTGAGAGTGATGCAGAGGTCCGTATGTTCTCTGGAAGCTCATTCCACAGACGTGGACCCAGGGAGGAGAAAGCACGGTCTCCCATGGTGACCAGTTTTGTCCGCGGAACATCCAGGAGATTGGAGCTGTCTGACCTGAGTGTGCGTGAGGTATGTGAATGTTTTCTAGTTAGCAGTTCCTTAGGTAGGTGGGGCCGGTGTGGTTGATGGCATTGAAGACCATTATGAGGACTTTGTAGTTGATCCGGTGTGTTACAGGGAGCCCGTGGAGTGAGTGGAGGATGGGGGTGATGTGCTCTGATTTGCCTGTTTTTGTGAGTATCCGGGCGGCACAGTTTTGTACATATTGCAGTATCTGAGTGGTTTTTGTTGGAATGCCTGCAAGCAGAGAATTGCAGTAGTCAATGCGGGAGGTGATGAAGGCATGGACCAGTTTTTGGTCAAATGAATAACGACTATATATAATAATATAAGAATAATACAAGGAGGACGGAGCCTCTCTTTTCCTCCCCCTCTCCTGACAGCCCGTCAGTATCCGTGGTCTCATGCAGCTGGCTGATCCAGTAATGAGTGACCTGACAGTAAAAATAAACATATTTATAACTAGTTTAGGTAGTTTGAGAGGTCATTAAAATAGCTAAGGGTGATGATCTAACTTGAAGTGTGTGTTTTGTTCCGCTCATCGCTCCATCACAGTGGGCGGAGCTGCAGGTGATCATGAAGAGCTGCGTGTCTCCTCTCCTGTCCGATTAGACTTCACTCGCATTTATGTCCATATCGATCAAATCTAGCTGGAAGCTCCTGCTGGGTGCACTGCGAGATACACTGGGGCTATTGCGTCATCGTTATCAGGAAATGATCATTTTAGGGCGTAATCACGGAGCCTTTTGGCCCCCCAGAGCGTTTCGTCCGCAGATCTACCCACCTTGGGACCCGTTATCGTTTTCCTGCGTTTCCATGTCGGCCTCGTGTGGCCGAACCGTCTATCTGATAGAGAACTGTAGCAGATACGACCGTTATCAGTCCTTGTGTGGCTTTCAGAGTGGCCTTTTATTGTGGCCAGCCTAAGGCACACCTGTGCAATAATCATGCTGTCTAATCAGCATCTTGATATGCCACACCTGTGAGGTGGGATGGATTATCTCGGCAAAGGAGAAGTGCTCACTATCACAGATTCTTTCAGATTTGTGAACAATATTTGAGAGAAATAGTTATTTTGTGTATATAGAAAATGTTTTAGATCTTTGAGTTCATCTCATGAAAAATGGGAGCAAAAACAAAAGTGTTGCATTTATATTTTTGTTCAGTGTAATAATTCAGGATGCAAAGTTCAACACAGTCTACTACACCAAGCCATCCAAGACAACCTCAACTCCCAACCACATCTGAATTTAAACAAGGCAGGAATGAAGTTTCCTCAAAAATATTTAGTTTTTAAGCAAACAAGTAGTATGTATTTTGGATGAAAGCATTCCGCTAAACAGCATACATGACCAGAGCAGAAGTCTAGTCATTAGCCCTAATGCACCTACAGTATACTGTTTGTGTCTTTTATTGAAAAAGCCAGGCTACATCAGTAATGGCCCCTTCAAGGTGGAGATGCTGGAGCAAGATAACGCTGCACTGGGTTGGTCCACTGAGAGATGTTTCATCCTAAGAGCTGCTTTACTTACCAGGACAATTGTAACAGTGGGCACATGGTTAGCCTAGCTTCAGTGAAGGTGATGTAAAGGTAAGGTTTAAAAGATCAACCTTATATCTTGAAAGGTATGGCACCAACTAAAAGGATATATTAGCGTGAGTGTAGAACTAAATGCAGCACTTTCACATTTAAAAATATTTTTTTTCTCCAATAACATGATATGACCTCACTAAAGGAGAGGCTTCAACGCCAAGGTAAAGCAGTTCAACCTGACCTCTTTTGAAATAGCATTAATGTATTTCCCCTGCCTTTCAGAGTGGCATATCTGCATTCCTGAATAAGAACACTCCAACGTTTTAGGTTGGAAGGATCAAGCAGGGCTTTATCCGGAAAAGGATTGAAGCCCACACATGCATGTGGGTACCTGTGTGTGTGTGTGTGTGTGTGTGTGTGTGTGTGTGTGTGTGTGTGTGTGTGTGGTGTGTGTGTGTGTGTGTGTGTGTGTGTGTGTGTGTGTGTGTGTGTGTGTGTGTGTGTGTGTGTGTGGAATGTAGCTAAAATGGGACAACTGTCACACAAGCCATAACTAGGACACCATGAATTATGCACCAATATCCAGATAACGAATGGCTGAAGCGTTGACCGGATTACCTGTGATATATAATTTAACTGCAGCATGTTTCTGACACACTGCTCTGTATACCTTAACAGGAAACAAATCACAGTAACTGTGAGGTGCAGGAATATCAAATGTATACACAATTCCTAGAAAAGGGCTGCTTCTCTTCAACACACCACCTGCTGATGAAGACCATGACATGAGGATAAAAGTGTGAGGATGAAGATCCTCAAGCATGATTATAGGTAATTCTTTCAAACTCAAGAAAGAGCTTTCATGCTCCAACCCTATTTTCTTTAATAAACATACAGAAGCCTGGGTCAGACTTTGATTCAAAGCCAATATCAGTTGGTCGGTTAGCTCTTACAGATATAACAACCCTAAAAGCAGCTGCTGCCTCCAGATACTAACTGCCTCTGTACACACTGGAAATGACGCTCAATGCACAGACATGGCATCACCAGTGGTGGAAGAAGTCCTCAGATCTTTACTTAAGTAAAGGTAGCAACACTTATTTTTAAACATACTCTGATAAAGGTAAAAGTCCTGGATTCATTTATTTAAAGGTCCCATGTCATGCTTCTCCGGTTATTACCTGTCCCCTTGTGTGTTATGTAGCTTGTTCTGCATGTAAACGGTCTGCAAAGTCAAAACCCTCAAAGTACACCCTGCAGCGAGTAAAACTCTAACACAGAGAAGACCTGTCTGTGCTGCCCCAGAACGCCTCGTTGGACATTTCTCTTTTTTCATTGTTTACTTCTTGGGTATAGTGACCTATAGTATAGTTACGTTTGGACCAATCCGCAGACTTCCTCACACACACACACTCGGCGGGACGTTGCGAGGCAGTGTGAGCTGGCTCACTGGTGTGGGGTCGGCGAGACAGCGAGACCGCGGAACTCAGCCTGAGCACACACACAAACTCCCAGCCAGGCTGCGGTGTGTGTGTGTTTCGGGCTGGGTTTCGCTGTGTCTCGCTGTCTCGCAGGCGGCCACTGGCTCACAAAATGTACTTAAAGTACCAAAAGTAAAAGTAATTCGGAATCCTATATATTAAATGACGGGATATTGATTATTGATGCATTAATGTGTTCATCACAGCTCCATTTGGAACTTATTTTAATTAATTGCATATGGCTTCTGGATATATTTACCTAAAATTAAATGTTAATGTTCCTTTTTAGTTATTAGTTGATTTATATTCTATCTCAGTTTATAATCTGAATCTATAAAGTAACAAATGATGTACCGTAGAAAATAATAAAGTACAATATGGGCGGCTAAAATGTAGGAAAGTAGAAGTATTAAGTAGCATAGCATTAAAATACATTAAATGAATACTACAGTTATGTGAAATCTGTTGACATACATTTATTTAAAATCAACGGTTCAGTTTTTTCAGTGTACACCAAACTGGAATTACTATCATTATACACTTTCTGTGTCTTCCATTGACACCAGGTCCTTATCATGTTATCCCAGTGAAGACAGACCCATAACTGAACTGAAGCATTGTTCCGGCATTACTCCTCCGAGTGGGAATATGTATCAGCGTCAGCGAGATTTGATTTGACACTCACCCTGTTAAAGCGCTTGGCCTGGAAGAGGTGTCCGTTGACTCGGTAGAGTTTCCTCCATCTTCTGGCCCCGCGGCGATAGATCGATTCTAGGAGAGAGAGGAAACGGTTGTAAAGTAGCAGCATGGTGAGGGGCTGATGGGAAATATGTGTGCCGAACAATGGGTGAGCAAGATGAGTGATAGAGAAGAGGGTAAGCTGAAGGAGAGGTCCTTCCTTCTCGAGTAGTCTGAGTTGAAGTGAGGGGAAGACACACATCAGGTTTCTCTACAATATGCACGCATGCTCACACACATACACAGCAGACACACACACACAAACCCAAATGCTGTCTCTCGGCTCTCCCTTCATCTTCCTCTTTCTTCCCTAGCTTCTTCCTCTCCTCAAAACCTCCATCCCTTCTTTTCTTTCACTTCTGGTGATGATTGGACTCATTAGTGCTCCATAATACATTGTATTCAGATGAGACCATCAAGGTGTAGCTATTTTTAACAGGATCATGTAGTCAGCTATTATTAAACTGCAGGGCATAAACATGCGCCGGCGGTGTGCTGAAGCTTCTGTCGTCATATTAGACTATTATTTAAATTATCCCACATTGGGCTCAAACAAATGGTTTATCTGGATTCATGATGACCTGCTGAAGCAAAACTGAGACGTCTACTGGTATGATTTTATAATATTTAAAATCTAAAGAGATAAAGAAGAATATGTTCTGTATTCAGGTTTAAGTATGCTCAGATTAGTTTATACATGATGAATGGCAACACACTTAAAACTTAACTTGACTTGGTTACTTCGATACCATTTGGATCTTATTCCAAAAGACAAATTCTGTTCATGTTCAGCTTCATATTATAATTTAGTTTCTCTACTGGGACATGTCTCCATGCTTTAATGAGTTTAGAAATGACGTAAGATGTAATCTGTTACTTGGTGACAGGGGCGCATTTGCCAGGTGCCTAAAATGCAATGCAACACAAAAACATGGCTTCTCAAAGATGACCATGATCCTTTATGAATCATACATATGTTCACTAAAGGTGAGATGCATTACAACAAATTGGCATCTTTGCACTTGCTCAGATGTGTGTGTGTACTCCCTCAGATTCTCATTATCCACTTGTAATTCAGGACTCAAACCTTGCACCAGGCAGAGAAAATGTGTACAAAAACCTATGAATAAACCCAGGGAGGCACATCCACAGCTGTTGGCCCAGGTTCTAACATTCTTCACAGCTCTGAAAATCCTAGATAGGGAGAGTGGATCATTCCTTAAAGGATACCAACATATGCAATGACAATGTGTAAGCTTTAACACCTCTGTTGCTACCAAAGATGAAGGAGTGCAATTGCACTCAACTTCAGGGCATCAGAAATAGTAACAGAATGTAATCAACATTAAATTCACCTTGGGGCACCACTATTACAAAAATGGAAATCCTTTTTAATTATTTCAATCTCAATTCTGGAGGTTGCTACTGAGTTCTTGGCTGGTGCACCGAGTTCAACGCGGTATGCAATGCATTCAGCCATTCAACTAATAACTGAATATGGAAAATAATTAACAATATAAAGCACCCAAGGATATCTTAGTGAGATGTATTCATTTATGAAAATGAGCTGATCAGATTTTGGCCACTTTATGATGTCATAACGATGTTTTGGCTTGTGTAACCATTAGCCAATCAGCAACCAAGGTAACCCCCCCCCTTATCACCTGAATCTCCTCCTAGAGCTCCATTGAGTTCTTTGTAACTAAATCTCTCTCAGAGGGGCGTGGGGAGGGGCTCCTTATTTTCATCTAAAGTAACAGACAGAGAATCAGCACTTTGGAAACAGAGCTGAAACAGAGGGGATTATGGGTAATGCTGCAATGATCTGTTTGGTGTTTGGAGCCAAACACTTCAGAGACATGTTTTGTATATATCTGAGACCTATATTGATGAAAAACAGTATGATAGGAGAGCTTTAATAACAGAAACATGACCGGTACACAACAGAATGTACGGCTTCATGACCCAGCTCTTAACACAAAATAGCTAAACAACAATAACTAGTAACAAGAAGTTCAATATGAAACATGCCGGCCCACAGTCTAATCCATGTCACAGGGTATAATGAACAAAGTGTATAACCATCCTGCATCATGTCTGCTGTTCCTATAAATAAGTCATGGTTCAATCATCTACCGGTGTGCGGATCATCACTTTAGCAACCATTATATTTATATTAGCAGCAGAACATTTTGATTTCAGGGTCTTACATTAGGCAGTGCTTAAAAAAACAAACAATTTGATGCTCTATCCCAGAGCAAGCAGGAGAGGAGCTGAGTAACTCGACGTAACGGACAACAGCTTGGCCAGAAATGGACTATATAACTGCAGAACACACAGAATGATGTTGTTTATAGGAAGATCTTAAACTTAAAAAGTAATTGACATGAGACAACTGTTTTAACAACACATTTGGATTAATGCGCCACTAAAACTAGTCCCAATCAAATGCCCTTTTTCCTCCTGTTTGAGTAATGTCTGTCAAAACTATAGTGATCAGCTATTTAATGCAATAAGATAATATATTTGTGAGGGGTTTCTTAAGAGTTAAGTGTTGGGGTTAAGTTAAGTCTTCCTCCTAGCTCGTCGAGCCATCCTAATTAAGTGGAGGGACAGTGTCCCGCCCACTCATTTTCAGTGGTTGACGGACGTAATGTCCTGCATGAAATTTGAAAAGGTCAGATATTGACTTCTACACTCAAACAGGAAATGTCAGGAAGCCTGGGGACCTTTTTTAAATGCATTCCACACTCTGTAAAACAATCTGCTATCGGTATAGCTTATCTGCAGCATATGTATGTAAGTATGTATACAGTACAGTATATATATGTGTATGTTGCATGTACTGTATATATATTTATATGTACTTCATGCATATATATTAATTTACCAACATTTCTGGAGAATCTTCGTATGTATGAAACTCACTGTCAGTGAATGTAGGGGATTACTTAAAGATCACCTATTGAGCAAAATCCACGTTTCCATGTCTCTTCTACATCAACATGTGTCCCCTCTTCTTCATGTCTCTTCTACATCAACATGTGTCCCCTCTTCTTCATGTCTCTTCTACATCAACATGTGTCCCCTCTTCTTCATGTCTCTTCTACATCAACATGTGTCCCCTCTTCTCCATGTCTCTTCTACATCAACATGTGTCCCCTCTTCTTCATGTCTCTTCTACATCAACATGTGTCTCCTCTTATTCATGTCTCTTCTACATCAACATGTGTCCCCTCTTCTTCATGTCTCTTCTACATCAACATGTATCCCCTCTTCTTCATGTCTCTTCTACATCAACATGTGTCCCCTCTTCTTCATGTATGTTCTACATCAACATGTGTCCCCTCTTCTTCATGTCTCTTCTACATCAACATGTGTCCCCTCTTCTTCATGTCTCTTCTACATCAACATGTGTCCCCTCTTCTTCACGTCTCTTTCTACATCAACATGTGTCCCCTCTTCTTCATGTCTCTTCTACATCAACATGTGTCCCTCTTCTTCATGTCTCTTCTACATCAACATGTGTCCCCCTCTTCTTCATGTCTCTTCTACATCAACATGTGGTCCCCTCTGGTCTCTTCACATCAACATGTGTCCCCTCTTCTTACATCAACATGTGTCCTCTTCTTCTTCATGTCTCTTCTACATCAACATGTGTCCCCTCTTCTTCATGTCTCTTCTACATCAACATGTGTCCCCTCTTCTTCATGTCTCTTCTACATCAACATGTGTCCCCTCTTCTTCATGTCTCTTCTACATCAACATGTGTCCCCTCTTCTTCATGTCTCTTCTACATCAACATGTGTCCCCTCTTCTTCATGTCTGTTCTACATCAACATGTGTCCCCTCTTCTTCATGTCTCCTCTACATCAACATGTGTCCCCTCTTCTTCATGTCTCTTCTACATCAACATGTGTCCCTCTTCTTCATGTCTCTTCTACATCAACATGTGTCCCCTCTTCTTCATGTCTCTTCTACATCAACATATGTCCCCTCTTCTTCATGTCTCTTCTACATCAACATGTGTCCCCTCTTCTTCATGTCTCTTCTACATCAACATGTGTCCCCTCTTCTTCACGTCTCTTCTACATCAACATGTGTCCCCTCTTCTTCATGTATCTTCTACATCAACATGTGTCCCCTCTTCTTCATGTCTCTTCTACATCAACATGTGTCCCCTCTGTGTAAAGAGACTCTGAACGTTTCAGGAAAAGAGATTCTCTCTCTTTTTGTCCTGATCCATTTATATAAAAACTAATGCTGTCAAAATTATCGCGTTAACGGCGGTAATTAATTTTTTGAATTAATTGCGTTAAAATATTTAACGCATTTAACGCATGTGCAGAATGGCCCGCCCCATACATCCCACCAGTGGCAGCGCCAGGGTATGGCTAGGGTAGGCTACACCCATACCAAGAAATGGCTTAGCCCCACCATGAAAAATGATGTTAAATTAGCAAAATAAAGTCTGCCAACTCGCGCCGAGAATTGCACAGACAGCAGTTAGTAAGATTGATTTCAGCAGCCACTTGTCTGGAAATACCGAAGACCAGAAACGGTTTTGAAAACTTTTGTCACGTAGTGATCGTCTTCTCAATAGAACATCTTTGATAATGTCTTCTGGCCAATCAGAATCAAGATAACGGCGTGGTGTTGTTGCAGGAAGTCCCGACGGAGAATACTTTTGCTGTAGTACAGGGGTGCACATAACTGGTACGCAGGTTATGTGCGTAATCTGAAATGCGTACCGTCACTTGTGTCACAAAGCGCATTTGCATACCGACGTACTTGTGAAGCTTTTCCAGAAGGCGGTTAGATCACCGGACGACAGAGTCGGTCTCCGTGTGCACAGACAGGGCTGCTGTTAACGTCGGTCTGTACAACGGAATTGTGCCAAAACTACGCCAACCGGCTGCGGAGGGAGACTCCCCCCCCCCCCCCCCCCCTTCACTGGAGAACTGCACAAAAACAGCTGATCACAACGTTCACACTCTGTGGTCACAAAGTACTCCACTAGCCGCCGCCCCCCC